GGAGACCAGCTCTGGGGCAACTAGACCAGCTCTCTAGTCCTCCTCCGTTCCCTTCCTCACTTCCTCTGGCTGCTCGGGCCCCCTGAAGCCCCCCAGGAGCAGAGCAGCTCCGGCCATCTACCCTCCTCCGTCTGCACTTAAACCCCGAAGTCCACACTCGCTGTCCCGGCTGGCCGAGCGCAGGCAGCGCGATCCCCCCACCCTGCCGTGTCGATTCTCAGCCCCTTGCCCGGGGAGGTGCGGAGCGGAGCACAGCACTGGGCCGCGGGGAAGGGAGGTGCCCGTTGGCCCTTCTCGCAGACGCAGGACTTCCTTGGTTTCCCAAAGCCAAGAAAAGCTTCCTCTGAATCTAAAATCACCCATCTGTCTGTCCATCCATCCCTTCACCCACGCGTCTATCCATCATCCCTTCGACCATCCGTCTCACATCTGTCCATCTACCCACCATCATCCATCCATGACCCGTCCATCTGTCCGGCACCCGCTGGCCCTCCATCCTGCCGTCATCCATTTGCTGTCATCCCTCCGCCTAGCCGTGCCTACACCGCTCTGCTCAGGCCCCGCCCTCGGCCCTGGACTCTGCCCTCAAGGCTCCCGTTAGCGGCTGGGCAGTGGGACCGCGAGGGCTTGGAGATGTTGGGTGGGGTGGGGGGCCGGGAGCAGTGCTGGTCCCCGATGCGGGCGCGTGGTCATCGGGCCCCTCAGAACTCTGATGCACTTACATTCCGAAATTCGAAATTCACGTAACTTTCAAAGTGTCCTTCTTTGGATTTTCCCCTGCCATTTAAAAGTGGAAACCCACTCTCGGCTCGCAGGCGCGCAAAAGCGGGTGGCAGGCCAGAGTTTGCCACGCTGAGGATTTGGGCCTCGAAAGCACCTCTCTCCACTGCCCTGGGGCAGCAGCAGGGCGGGGCACTTCTCTGAGAAGCCTGCAGGCTGACTGGAGGAGCGAGAGGCCGTGGCCCTTCTCTATCCCCTCCCCACGAGCTTGGCCCCCCGAAGCACCGCTCCCTGAGGGGTTGTGAAGGGCGGTGGACTCCTGGAGCGCTGAGGCCAGCCAGGAGCTGGGGACCATTTCAGGCAGGGGTGGGACCAAAGCATCCTCAGGAACGCAGAACGGCCTCTTCCCCCAGGTGGACAGAGGCGGGACCAGGAGGCAGACGGCACGTGCCAACTCACTGCAGGTATCTGGGTGTCCACCTGCCCAGGCACTGTCCTCAGCCGGTCAGATTCAGTGGCAGGAGAAACCAAGTGCCTCTCTGCAGAGCTGATGTCCCGCCGGGGAAGAAAGACAATAACCCAGTGCGGAGGGACCTGAAATGGCCCAGGTGAGGGTGGGCTTGAAGAAAGAACAGGAAGCAAGTGGCCAGAAGGGGACCAGGGTTTTTGTGCAGGCTGCGAGGGAGGCCTGCGGGGGCCAGAGGCCCGCCGCCAAGACCTGAATGCGGGGTGGGGGAGACCGGGCCGAGTCCTGAGGGTGAGTGCGTGGTGTGTGCAAGAAGGACCTGGAGGCCAAGCAGGCCCAGCAGCAGCGGAGCCAGAGCCTTGGGGCTTCTCAGCACATGCAGGGGCTGCTCCGCGAGGCAGCAGCCAGGGAGCAGGAGCCAGACTGAGCGGTGGCACCGGCAGGGGGAGGCGGGAGGCTCCGCGAACTGCAAATGAAGTCTTGTCCCAGTTATACCCACGTGGCAAGTGTCTCGCTGGCCTAGAAAGGAGCGAGCCGCTGCCCACGCCACCCCTAGCTTTCTCCGCTCTTCTCTCCAGCGCCTTCCCTCTCCCCGGGCCGGGGAAGCGGGTGGGGCAGGCTGGGGGCCCGAGGGACCCAGCCACCTTGTTCCTTTGTCCCGCTTCCCCCTCGCCTGTGGCTGACGGGCCAATCTTGCACAGCACGGCCCCAGCTCTGCTGCCTCTGATAAGCCCGGCCATCTGCAGCTCACTTCAGATCTTGCCAAACTCGAGTCTGACAAATGATAAGAAACTTGGAGACATACCTCTGGTGGGTGTGAGTTCTGTGCCAGGTCTGCTGCTTCCCGGCTCTCTGCGCGGGAGACCCATATGGGGTTGCTTTGGGTTTTAAAAAAGCGCATCGCCTCATGTCGTCCGTTTCACCAGAAGAGGGGAATCGGGACTTGGCCGGCGAGGTGCTGAGATCCTTAGTTGTCTGGGGGACACGTCGGTCCGTGGCCAGGGCTCTGTCCTTGCAGACACGGGGAGGCGCTGAGGGGGCCGGAAGGGCCTGTCCTCTGGCACGGGGTGTTGGGATGGTTTCAGCCAGTGCGCTCTGGTGGTCGGAAGAAGCGGGGGGAGTGTGCAGATTTAGCCGCGGGGCTTCGTGCCCGGCGCACGCGGAGTCAGGGTCTGTTCCACCACCACGTGCTGGTGACCACGCCCCAGGCAGGGTGCGTCCCTAGCGGGTGTGTGCAGGCACGCGGCTTCCTGGGCAGGGCTGTCAGCCAGCAGGTGCCGAGAAAACGGAGTCGCTGGCCTGCTCCATCGCTCACGGAGCGTCTGCTCTGCCCGCCGCCCCAGGCCCCGGAGGCAGCTGTGAGCTGCTCTCAGGGAACCAGCCCTCGGAGCCGAGGACAGACAGGAGGGAGGGACGAGCGTTCCATGAGTTGATGAGAAGTTTTCTGAAGAGGAGAGGTTGGGCGTGGGGTCCTAACTTAGACACCTGGTCAGAGAAGGCTTCTGATGAGACATTTGGGCCCGAACCTGGATGATGTGTGGGGAGGGGGCGGGAGTCTCTTCGGAAGCAGCTGCAGCAGATGCAAAGGCCTGAGGTGGGGGCGCCCAGCACTGTGAGCAGCAGCAGGTCTGGAGGGCCAGAAAGCCTGGGGTGGGGCAAAGAGCTGGCGCCTGCTGTGGACTTGCCTCTGACTCCGATGGGTGGGGGCGCAGCGGGGCTTTGGGCGGAGGTGGGCAGACTCACTTCTGAACCCATGCCTTGGAGACCAAACTGCGGGACCAGGTGTGGGGTCAGGAGGAACTGATGGGAAGAACCAGCGGGGGCCCTTCATCTACCCCAGGGTGCAGGCGCCGGCCAGGCCGTCTGGAGGACTGGAGTCAGGCAGGCGGGCGGCCTCAGGGCCGTGTGGAGACTGTGTCTCCCAGTTGTAAATGAGAAACAAGGTTGTCCGTGGAGAGGTTGGAGCAGGGGTGGAGAGGGAGGGTAGGAGGAGTGGACTCTGAGGGTGAAGGGTCAGGACGGCCCCTGCTGGGTGAGGGCTGGGGCCACCTCCAGCCACAGCAGGTGCTTGGCTGGGTGGTGCCTGAGCTGAACCCGGGTGGGGAGGGACTCAGCGCCCATCCAGGGGAGTTGGAAAAATGGACCCGCCTGGGAGGGAGGTGGTGAAGGGAGCTGAGCAGCAGGTGGGGTTCCTCGTAGGGACCTAGCAGTGGGCTGACCACGGGAGTGGGCTGGAGAGATGGGAGGGCGGTTAGAGCCTGGGCCTTGATTTGGGGCAGTGGCTGTTAATAAGGTGTTGAGTTTGAATGGAGGTGGCGGGAAGAGGGGAGCCCCTGGTCTCTGGAGGGAGGAGGACCAGGTGCCAGGAGACTAGAGTCAGGTCACTGTTTGATGCCACAGAATTGGGGCTGAAGGTCAGGCCAGTGTGTGGGCCTAAGGTCCCTGAGGCCCAACTCAGGTCTCTAGACCACCCAGCCAGGAGGGGCTGGTGTCGGCAGGTGTGAGGGGAGCTAGGGAGAGGGGACAGGCAGGGGTCCTGAGGTACAGGGAGGAAGGGTGGGGAGCAGGAGAGGGGGAGGGGGCTATTCACCACCGCCCCAGTGGTTCTCAAGCCTGAGGGAGGACAGCCACCAGGAGAGGCTGTGAGGGGCTTCCTTGTGGGGTAGCCTCAGACCTTGAAGAGAAAATGCTGAGGAACCAGGGCACGTGGGTGCAAAAACAAACCTGGTCGTCTCGGTGTTTTCCTTATGCCCCTTCCTGGAGGCGCTCATTTGCCTCAGAATCTCTGCCACCCTGGATGTGATTCAGCACCGGGTGGGGGGCGCCAGACACTCCAGACCCAACTGCAAGCTGCCTTATCTCCCTCCATCCACATCCCACACTGACCTCCCGCCCCTGCCTTGGCCTGCAAGCGCCCTGTCCCTCTCCATCACCCCTGGCTCAGAGGTGCGCAGTCTCCCCTGGAGGCCACAGCCCCTCCTGGTCTCCGTGGGCTCAGCCCCCTGGGCGGGCCTTGGTGATGGCCTCTGTCTGTCTGTCTCGTTGGCAGGTAGCGGGACAAGGGTTTAAGCTGCGACAGCGGCAGCATCTGGCCGGGAGAGCTGGGTAGCTCGGGCAGCCTCCCTGCGCCTCACTTTTCCCACATCGGGACACGCTTGTTTCATCTGGGTGGGTGGGACCCTTCGCCAGGCTCCGCACTCAGCCCAGCCCCTTGTGAGCCCAGGGCACCTCTCACCTCTAAAGGGGGGGCCTCTGGAGGCAGGCCTGGTGCCCCAGCCGCCCCGCTGCCCGGCTAGTGCCTTCACGTTGTATGCCCAGTAAACATGCATTTGCTGAATTTGGGAATGATCTCTATAAAAACTTTTCTGTAATATCTTTAAAAAATTTGGAGGGATTGAAATATACCGTCAGATTTTTCAGCGCCTAGAAAAAATAGTTTGCATATGGCGATGAAAAATCAAACCCAAGTCCAGCTACGCCAGATCTATAGTTTTTAAGTGTCAATTAACAAAAAGATTTTTCTTATGTTCTAAAAGCGAATGAATTGTGTATGAGACTTACTGCTTTATCCCAGAAAGAGTTTTTTTTTTAAACTTACTAAGACAATTTACAGAGAAAATTGCCTTGAAAACATTCAATAAGCGCAAAGGGCTCTTTTTAGCGTAGATGTGTCATTTTGCAATACCGACGGCTGAGAGTCTTTGAAAACATTTTATTTCATAAGAACCATTTAAAAACTTTCACAGGTTTTATTCCCATTTTGGTTTTCCACACCGGATCTTTTGACTTTTCCTAAATCACGTTTTATACCCAGATTTCCAAAAACATCAAAAGTGTCCTCAAAGCCTTCAAGCTCGTTGACGTTAACAGGACTCACGTGATTCAAGCCCACGAGCTGCGGAGGGTCCTGGAGACCTTCTGTCTGAAGATGAAAGACGATGAGTACAAGAAGTAAGTATGGGGGCGCTGCCCCGAACCCCCCCCATCTCCACCGTGGTCCCGGGAGATACTCACTGCTCGCCCGGGTTCCTACGCTCCTGGCGAATTCCGGAAGATGAGAGCTGCCAGTGGTTCTGATTCCCAGGGCCAGGGGCGAGTCATCTGGCCTGCGGTTCTGACGGCACCTTGATGCAGTGGGTGGGAGTTTGCGCCTACCCCCTGCCGTGGTCACCAGGTGTCAGTCCCGGCTGGCACCACGCCCTCCAGCCCACAGGCTGGGCTTTCACTCCAAGCACGGCTCGGGAGAGACGGGCACGTCGCACCTATTCCACAGTCCACACGCTCCCTCGTGGCTCTCCATTCTGCCCTAATCAGAGGGACCAGGTTTTCCTTTGAGGACTGTGGCAGGCGGAGGTGGGGCGTGGGTCGCACAAAGGGTCCGGATAACTGAACGGGCGGCTGCTCGGTGGCCTGGGACAGCCTGCGCACGAGGCGGGTGGTGGGGGCAGCCCCCACGCCGCTCCGTGCCTCTGCTAAGCTCCAGGTCACTCTGAAGATGTCCAGCTCGTGGCTTCTGTGGCCATGTGGGTTTTGAGTGGAAGGTGCTAGAAAGTGGGTTGTTTAATTTCATTTACAGAGTTCTCAGCCAAGAGGCACTCTTCCCTAAACATCCTCCAGGCCATTCCCCCCAAGCCCACATCTTGTGGTTTCTCCCTGAGCCTGTGAGTTTCACTTATACACAGTTACAAGCCGCTGTTCAAACAGGTGCCTGTGGGTCCTCGCCTGACACGCCGCAAGGTGTGGCTCTGTGAGGAGAGAGGATTCTGCTCCTAAGGGAGGCTGCCCCGGGGCACAGACACTCACAGGCAGACGGGGCTGGAAGGCAAGGGGGAGGAAGACATTGGACATGTGCTGGTCTTTTGAGTATTTTCTTCTTTCCTCCTCTTTATAACCCACCTCAGAATATAAAAGACATAATAGATGTTTTAATTTTTACATCTTTCCGGCTGGGAAAGTGTCCAGAATAAGATCCAAACAAAACAAATTAAATAATTTCGTGCAATTACACAGCAGAAGCACCACTCTTCAAAAACAGGCAATCAAAAAACAAAACAGTGCTTTATTTGACAATAAACCTTGTGTTTGGCACTGCCGTCTCCAACCTAGTAAAATCTATAAAAAATGATACTGTCTGTTTCCCCATCTCATAAATGTTGAATAATAAAGAACTCCACAAATTTTTATTTGAGATTTTTTCAAACCTCCCAAACAATATACTGTTCTCTTGATAAGGCTTGAGAAACTTAGCAGAATTGCTTTCCTTAAGAGTGGAAACGCAGGAGATCAAAAGCAGACCATTTCTTCAATTGCTTTAATGCTTTCCTTATTGAAGCTCGAGAAGACACTCTTTCCCTGAGAAACTGCTTTAGTAGTAACTTGGCCTTTTCACTCTGGAGCAGGAAACACAATGCATTTTGGGAGCCCTTTCTTTTATCTAACAGCTTTCTCTCTCACATCAGCCTCAGTGCTCGGTGAGGGGGAACTGGCCTGGCTTTGGAGTCAGGAGCACCTGGGATTGGGTCTGCCTTTGGCCCTTGCTAGTGCCAGGGCTTAGGGGCTCCTGGGCCTCCCCAAGAGTGCATTATCTCCTAAAAAAAATGGTGCTTGAGGCACCTACCTTGTAGGGCTGGTGTGAAGATTCCACAAAATGAACAGAGTGTGTCTGCAAAGTGCCTGGCACATAGTAGGTGCTTGTTTCACAGTGACTATTGAGTGATCGTAAAGAATCCACTACTGTTCTTTGTTTTTGGTCAACAGCTCTGTTTAGCCAGCAGAATACCAGGTAGCCTATGTCCACAAGAGGCTGGAGATAAAGCCACCAGCTAGTTTTATACCTAGTTAGACTGTCTCGAGGCCCGCTGGGTTTTGTTTTTCCTTTCCTATCTGACACCCTCCTACCCTCCATAGCCCTGCAGTCTGAAGCATTTGAATGCAGATGAGATAATGTATGAGCTCCCTTGAAGCACCAGCTCACTGGAGGTCAGCCTGCCGCCTGAGCAGGGGAGCCAAGTCCAGGCCCGATTGCAGGCAGTGAGGCTGGAGAGGTGTTGGCATTTGCCCAGTGCCTCTCAAGAGTGACCGAAGTGCCAGGAGGACTGCGCAGAGTACAGACTCTCCTGGCCAGGGTTTGGGTTCCTGGGAAAACGGCCTTGGTTGTGCCCTCTTAGAAATGATCTGTCTCCCTTGCCATTGCTGTAAAAACAAAGAAAGAAGCTTTAAGATATGGCCTTTGGGCAGTGCAAGGCTTCACTTTGAGGTTTTTTCCATGAGCAGCATCGCCATGGGGCTCTGTCTGTCTGTCCTGGACGAGTGCATCAGGGGTTCCAACTGTGGGGAGCTGGACACGAGGAAGGTCAGGGCTGGATGCTGGGTTTCTGCAGGAAGTGGGGGCACTGGTGCCCAGCCTCTCCTCATTCTGACGCTTTTCTAGAGGCAAGGCAGGGGAGGCCAGTGCTTTCTGAAGGATGGCGAGAGGGAGGGGGGCCATGAAGTGCCCCCTTCTGGCTGTTTGTGCTCACAGTCTTCTTGTTGCACGACAGAGGGGACCAGTGAAAGATGGAGCTGTTTAGGGAGTTTCAGTGTTAACATCTGGCAGCTCTCTGATCTCAGGGTAATTTTTCTTATTAGAACAATAGGCAAGATTCATTGAAGTGGGGGAAAAAAGGTATGCATCGCATTGAATGACATTAGTCTTTGTTAAATTTAGAAAACAAAAATAACAAATACTTGAAGTGATAATTACTAAATTTTTAGAAAGCAGCATGAAATTAGATAATTATAGAAACTGACACATATGGAGATAATATAACCAAACATTTAAAAACTGTCGATTTTTTATAGATGCAGTAATGCAGAAATTATCTAGAAAGCCATTTATCAAGTAGCAGATTTGAATAATAGAAAATTCATTTTTAAAAAGAAAAACCCAAACCTTTTATTAATCTTCACTTAAAAAAAAGAAAGAGCATCTTTATTTTAACGCTAGGCAGTGGTTGTATTTTCACATTTTCATTTTATTTACAGAATCATAGAAAAGCTTTGCCCCCTTCATCACCAACAGCTTTGAAGCCCTGTGCCATCTGGGAACCTTAGTTTGTCTCTGAAATGATGTACTTGCTCCAGAAGATGGGCTAAAAAAAAAAAAAAAGGCAAAACAGAGGTTGTGTGTAAGGCCCTGAGCCCTGAGGCCCAGGGATGTATTTTTAATGTAATCCTCCGTCCCCCTCATTAGCGCTCAGCTTAGAAGTTTTCTGCTAACTGTACCCAGTTACTGCGTGAAGGAGGACCTGCTTCTCCTGTCTGCAGGGGGTGCCCTTCGGCCCCTCGCATGCCAGAGAAGGGAGAAACCCCCAGCGACCCCCACGCACCTTCCTTTATCAGCTCCTGAGCTGTCCCTGCCCATCCTGTGCCTACCCCTCCGTGGCCCAGCAGACCTTCTTCCAGGTATCTATGTTTTTCAATCTTACAGAACCATGTACCAGCGGCTACTATTTTAATTCCAATTGAAGCTAGGAACACGAGCTATAATTAATAGCCGATCCCAGTGTAAAGGATACCCTTAGGGACAGTCTCGCGTCGATTAGAGCCTCTGTGTCATAATTTCGATTATTAAAGAATATTTCTACTTTAGGTTTGCAAAGCACTACAACATTGATAAAGATGCCACAGTGGATTATAATACGTTTTTGAAGACCCTCAATACAAACAATGAATTGAACCTCAAATACCACACAGGAAATCAAGGTAAGAATTTTTGAAGTAGCAGCCAGAGCTGGTAAGACCCTTTGGTGCAGTCTCTCCTCCTCTGCGCCTGTCCTGAGGACGTTCTGCAAATATGGGTCATGGGCCTGGTTTCATCATTGGGAAGAACCATGTGAATGTCTAACAACAGAAGCAGAACGAGGTTGTCCCAGTGTGTCCACACGGTGAACGTGTGGCCAGAACACCCCATCGCAACTGGACAAGGCACATGGGCTGTCAGTCAGTGATTGGAAAGACACTCTGAACCCCAGATCGCCTTTAAGTGATACGTCTCTGCGTATTGTTCTGTTCTTCTTTCTGCTGCTCCTGTGTTTTAAAAAATTGTTGATAAGGAACGTGTATTCCTTTGATAATACGACAAATATCTTAACATGAAAGGGCAATTCATTGAATGGTTGATACAGTTCTATTAGACACTTAGAGCCAGGCTTCTGCAGGCAGCAAAAAGCAAAATTTGTCCTTGTGCTTCCCCGGACTCGTCAACACAGTGCCCAGTGCTGTCAGCCTGCAGGCTAGAGAGAGGTCGGGGCCAGCCTTTGAGTATGGACATGTGGAGAATGCACTGGAGGGTCTCCCTTCAGGACCTTGGGTCACTGGGGCAAGTGTGTTCTGCCTGGGCTTATGGCCGTGACCAGTCCGCGCAAGGTGGGTGCAGCGAACTGGTGGGTCCCACTTCATTCAGGGCAGCAAATGTGACTCCTGGTCGCTGTGCTCCTCAGCTCTGCCTCACCACCGAGCTTAAAAATGGCAGCCTTGGATTTCAGCTTGGTCACACCAAGATGGCCAGAAGCAGACTCCAGCACTCTACTAGTTAAGCTTCCCAAATTTGGGGGGATTACTAGACAAGATGGTCTTCTGAGGATACCCTCAACCCTTATATTTATTTGTTTATGTGTAAGTCCTTGCACCCCTAGGCCCTTCACTGGGGGTGAAATCAAAATATTTGGTCTCTGAGAAGGGTGTGTGTGTATGCACGGGATTATCTGTGGGCTTCCATATTATTTAAATAGGGCAGGTCAGACGTAAAATCACACAAAGAAATGTAATAAAAAGCATCCATTTATTGTGCTCTGTTAAGCTACTTTATACACCTTAGTTTTAGTTTTTCTCTCAACAGCTTTGTGAGGTGGGTATTATCCCATTTTTTAGATGAGAAAGCTCGGCTGCAGGGCGCAAGATGAATGTCCCAAAGGCACATGGCCAGTTCATGGGGGGGCCGGGGTCTGAACTGTTCAGCTCCAAGTCAAACTATTTAAGCACCTGAGAGAGGGGGACAAAATGTCCTGGATGTTCACAGGAAGAAGAGGCATAGCCAGTGAAGGGCAAGGAGGCAAGGCCGTGGGACGGACCCTGAGGGAGGGAAGGAGAACATTCTGGTCCAGCACCCTGGGGACGGTGTTCGGCTCAGCTCCTCTGTGCATTTAGCCAAGTGGGACGGATTGTGGTGCTTTGCCTGCTTCTGGAGGAACTCGTCGTGTTTGCATCCCTAGTTGGATCATCATATACTTGGCCCCACTTCTCGAGCTCTGCTCCATGCCTGACTCTAGACTAAGCACGTTGCTGTACTATCTTTTCGTATTAACTGCAGCCCGTGAAGCAGATGCTGATGCAGACAAGCAAAAAGGCTGAAGTAAACACGCCAGTCCTGCCACCCAGAAAGAACCTCTCTTGGGGCCTTCTCCCAGGGTGTTTCCACACGCAGATATGTAGAGGACAGACAGACAGAAACGGGTTCAAGTAGATGCTGCTCTATATAAATATTTACTTTCACTCAAGTGTGTCAGGAAAGTAGAAATTGAAATGAAACTGAAGGAAATGGTGAGTGTATCTTGGCCAGATTTCATACCACAGGTCACCCATTCCCCCTTGATTGGGTCGTGGATGTGAGCCATTGCCTCCTGGCACGGAGTCTGGCTGTAGAGGAGTCTCAGGCTGGCCTGTATTGCCCCCTCTCTTGTGATTTGCTTCTTTTAGCTGGTTGCCTAAAGAATTGTTTATCTCTGAATTTCCAAATTCCAATGCAAATTCAATTATTTCTTCATTTCAAGATTTTTTAGCCATATATCTGAGTAAATTTTCTCTTCCATTTTTCAGATTTTTAACCTCAGTGATGCCCATTATACTGATGTTGGGTTGTCTTGTCCTCTCTATTGATATTATTTCTATTCTTTTGAAATGCTTTATTCTCTTTATCTTTTTCCTCTGTATTCGCGATGCTGTACTTTACCCTGTAATTTGATTTTCCTTAACGTCTATTTTATTCCCTGCTCTTTCTACTTTAGATACTGCTTCAATAATGGTGTTTCCTCTGCTCCACTGTATTACTTTCCATCTCATGTTGTGTCATCATCTTGTTTTACTGAACTCATGTCCATATTAAGATGTTCTGTGAGGTAGTTTTGTACCTTTGAACTACATTTTCTTCCAGGTGGGATCTTCACTTTTTTGTGTCATGGTCTTCTCCTTCCTTTGCTATTCAACTAACCCCAGTCCCCTGGATTTTTTTTCCTGTAGATTTTGTATAATTTTAAAAATTTGGATAAATTGATCATTTTTATTCCATTATACATCTTCAGTTAATCTGCATTTAATTGAAGCATTCAAATAGTAATGCACAGGAAGTGAAAGGACTTCGCAATTCCATTTCCCCATTCTTCTCCCCATCCTTTGTTACGTTGCTGCCACACATCCCAGTTTTACATAATGAACATGCTACAGCTTCTGTTGGTCCCTGAGATTTCCCATCGGTTCATTCATTAGCAGTATATTTTCCTTTACATTCCCAATGCTGTGCTTTTAAAACATTTAAAATGATTTAAAATTTTTATCTGCTTATTCCAGCACCTAGGTCTCTTCAAGATTAGTCTTCACTAATTACTTTTTTCTTCAATGTGGATCATAGTTTCCTGGCTTTAGGGTTTTTTTTTTTTTTTTTTTTTTTTTAATGTTTCTAACAATTTTGGAATCTATCCTGGATGCAATAAATTATGCATTGTAGAGGCTATGATTTCTGTTATGTTCCTCTGAAGAATTTAAGTTTTTGTTTTAGCAGCCAGTTTCGTTGGCTACGTGCAAACTCTAGTCTTTGTCTTCCCTGCCAGGGGTATGAACACCTGAAATCTTTGTTCTGCTGTTGTAGCTTTAGCTGGCCTTGTCCGCTCTACGTATCTATAGTTCAGGAGTTAGCCAGAGATTTTGGCAAAACCATTGGAGATCCGTCTCTATGCCTTTCTCTGTGAGCTTTCCCTTCTCACATTCCAGCTGCAGCAGTAGTCCTGGACTCTGGTTTCTGATTCCCAAAGGCAGTAAGATAAGACCTTGGGTTTATGTCTACATTTGAGCTAGCTCACGCGGTGCCATCTGAGGTCTGTCCTCAGGCAAAAGCCAAGAAACTCAATGAGCGTTATTCCACTTTTCCAAATGTTGGCTCCCGTTTATGTCAGTTTCTTTCCAGTGCCTCATATTTTTTTGTTTATATTTTGGCCAGAGTTTATGATAGTTATCTTCTGGGAGGGTTGCTTCAATATGAGTCAATCCACCATGATTGGAAGCAAAACTTTCTGTCTACCCATATTTAGCCCTCCCTTGATTCATTTCATGCTGGTCATTTTTTGTTGTTAATTTTTATTGTTTTTTTCCTCTTGCGTACTTCATTAGGCGCTATAAGAAGGTAAGCTCCGTTTGCCATGGGAATCTCATCTCTTTCCATTTTGCTATCAATAATGGCAGCAGGCTTTCTTTACTGGAGGTGCCTAAAATAATGACTCATTCCACAATTTAAAGGCATCTTTGACTTGACTAGGAGGGAGATATGTATCTAGTTATTCTTCTACAGCATTCGCTCGAGTTCTCACTGCTGCCTCCTAGGTGGGGCGGCGTCTGCGGCGTGGACCCATTCCAGCCGTCTCCTGTACCCGCCGTAGAGGTCGCTTTAAAGTAAAATCCAGCACATGCCTATTTTCTCAATGAACACTTATCCCATAACTTTCATGATTGAAATTCAAATCCTCCTGTGAGACGGCAAAGTCTTTGTGTGATGTTCTTAATTAAGGATACAGTCATCGGGGGCTACGGGCCACATCATATTAAATTAGCTCTACACCGAAGCCGTCAACACGGCCCCACTCTTCGGCATGCGGTGGGCAAGGATGAGCCCCAGACACCAGCCCCTCCTGTCCCCTCTGCCGTCCTGTCAGTTCAGCCCCAGGTGTAAATCTACACTCTCAGCACATCCTTTCAGGATGGGATGATGATAGAAAGGCTTCTATTTAGCCACGGATGGGCTGATTTGAATTCCTGCCTTGCTCCAGGATCATCTAGACGCGTTGCTCAGATAATCGACCCGACAAGGAAGGCCGTGCTACCGGACAGAGCAGTTCAGAGGTCGTCGCTAGGTGTCCCTTAGGGGCCCTTCCTTTTTTTGGATAAGTCATCAGGGAGTGTCGTCCAGCTCCCTGACCCGGCTCGGGGAAGTCCGCCACGACAGGAGTGGACACTGTATCACACCTGCTCTCTTGCGTCTCTCTGGCTCGTGTCTCTGGTCATTTGCTTATTTGAAGCTGGTTCTCAAGTAGACGCCTGAGGAAGCGCTCATGGGAATGATAGTCTCTGACTTCTTACTGTGAAACACTTGGTTCGTCTGAGTAAAAAAATCCTTTGCTCAAATTTTCTGTCCTTAATTCTCTTAAACATTCTACACGCTGCCTGTTGGCATAAAGTTTTGCTGAGGAAAAGTTTGAAGACAGTCTGATTCTACTTCCCTTGCGAGGGACGTGACCCTTTTTGCCTGGGTATCTAGAGACATTTTTCTTTTTACTTAAGCCTAATAATTTTCCTAGAAAGTCATATATTGAATGCTTGTGTTTCATTTCGCAGGTATTTGCGAATTGTTTAATTCACAGAATTGGGCCTTTGTATTTCAGGAAAACTGTTCGAATCACAATTTTTCGCCTCTGTTCCTTCCCATTGTTCGATTTTCTTCT